CAAAATTCTTAAATTATGATAAACTATCATCAAAATAATAAAAAATACTATTGCTTACACTCTATGAAATTTCTATGAAAAAATTGTTAAATAACAATTTATTTAGTTGTTATTTTGCCATATTCAAACAAAACAGTAAAATAACAGTAAATGGTATTTTAGCTGTTACCTGTGAGAAAATTGTTTATTAACTGCAACTGCTTTCACCTAATACGGTTAAAGAACCAGAATTTTATTGCTCACGATCCGAAAGGGCTTTTTGTCAACAGAATGGGGATTTGAGGCTCAGCAGTGAAACCAAAATATTTTCTCATTCCATTCAATGCAGAAAGACTTTTCAATGTCCAGCACTTCCCGATTTGTGACTGTGGATTACTATAATACGATACTCGCATTCAAGCATAGATGGCAACACCGTAAAGCTGCTTAACGCAAAAAAGTATAGTATTTCTTTGCTAGTTACAAATTGCTATAAAATAGTATAGTTTTGGGGTTCATGTTTTTTTTTCTAGCAAAAGTAGACTTAAAAGGTTTCAAAAAACTGTATATTTAATGTATGTTCATTACCACAAACTTTACTCTTAATAGGAGTGACGGACTGCTACCGGGTTCTTTTTACTGGGATTTTAGAATAAAAAGTTTAAGAAAGTACGTGACGAATCTCGGCGCTAGGTTTGAAGATGCAGCCAATTAGCAAAAGTTGTTGAAATTCAATATTATTAGTAAAAGAAACGACAATTTTCGAAGTTAATTTATCTTTTTCTTCAAATTCACTAATAAAGTGCTCTAAGTCCTTAAATGGTGTTTGATTTTTAACTATGGTTTGAATTTTAACTATCTGTTAGAAACTGTAGATAGAAATGAAAACAAAAATAATATAAATTTCTAATTCTTAATGCTATTTTTTTCCTTGACAACTTTAGTTTGTTAGAAATACTATTTAAATACAGTTAGAAATACTTTTTTTGTTTGCTCTGCCAAAGTATTAAACAGACATTAAATTGCTGTCGCACCAAAAACTTTAATCGAAATACCGTATATTAACCCCTTGTTTTTCGTTTTAAATATGTCTGTATCATTCATCTTTTAAATCTATGTTTCTATGTTTGCATTGATGGTTGTTTAAAAGCTTATCAAATGTTTTGCCAATGTGATTTCTTTTTTTCTTTTTTTATAACGGAAGCATTTCTTTCTAAATAGGAAAAAAAACATGCTTGAAAGTGTAGGAATCTCGAATTAATTGATGTGGAAATCTTTCACATGATTACACTGTAAAAGGCTATAAGTTTTACGTTTCTTTCAAAACGTTTTTCACAAATATAAAACTTTTTAGATTACTTACAAATAAAATAAAAAGAAAAAAAATTAAATATTTCTTAAGTTTTATACGTATTGGGGCTCTTTTTTAATTTCTCATTTTTACATACTGGCTCTGTACAAATTAGTAGACATACTATAAGATTTTATGTAAAGTCTTAATTATCGGGTAATACTACACAGCCTTATAGTTTTTACTCGGCTGAAACCGGTTTACACTTATTTACGTTCGTGTATCAATTGGTCAACATTGTAATGCAATACGTTAAAAATAAATGCAAATAAGAAGTTTGTAAGAAATCTCTTGACTTAAAACCCATTACATGTTTGTTTAAATATAAAAGTATTGCATATAAACTCGTGTAAAACAAGTAATTATTAAAACACTACAGTGCGTGAAATAATTTGGTCTAATTATTATAATGTACTAATATAATACCTGATATAATAAATATTCTATATTTATATAATACATCGTCTCATTTATCCAATCTTCGAATTTATATTATATATCGTCTAATTTTACCAATTGATACACGAACGTAAGCAAGTGCAAACCGGTTTCAGTCTCGTAAAAACATTAAAGCTATCTGATCTCACCTGATAATTAAGATTTTACGTAGAATTTTAAAGTGCGTCTAATAATTTGGCCATAAACTGTATTTCTTGTTTCTCGAAAATTGGAATTTTTATTATTTATTAATTATAAATTTTTTTTTAATGTATTGGCATATGTTTTGTGCATTATTAATATTACACACAAACAAATCAAAAATCGTTTAACACAATTTATAGATTTAGCAAACCTTTAAACTTCTTAATGACAGTGTTTAAGGGTTTCATTAAACTAATAACTCGCTTTTTTCTTACCCATATAAGATATCGTGTAAGTAGTTTTGAATCTATATAACTTTTTTCCATTTATATTGAAACTATTTTTCCCATTAACTCTAAGAATCTGCAAGAGTAAAAAAAGTTCTAATCAATGCTGTAACTTTTTTCAGACAGCGTAAATAAGTTTACCATTTTTCGCTCACTTAAAAACAGCATTAATGCCATGCAGTTACTAAATTTTATTGATTTACTGTAATTAAGAATAAATTTTCCAATGATATTCTGGGGCTTGATATATAAATTTTATATGCTTTAAGTTATTTTAGTTTTTTTCCTTAATATTTTTGCTGAATTTTTCTTCTGAATTATTTATTAAAAAATGTCTTTCATTATAATTAATTTCGATGATTATTTATGCTTAAGACTAAATTATTCTATCCTGTTTTGAAGCTTGTTACATGTGATGTACGCTTATGATTTTTTGGTGGGTTTTGGTATCTGAATTTAGAGTCTATTATGCAAAATTTCCTTTTAAAGCAGTTAACAGTGAAAACAAATTAACCTTCAAGGAGTTTTCAATCTCCCTAAATTAATATATAAAAATGGAATAAAACAAAGAAATTATTGGTAAATTTTCCCAGGAACTAAATAATAAATTAATAATAATAACTGCATTTTTATGCAAAATTTATTTTCATGTAAAATTTATTATAAAATCAAATTAAGCAGAAAAACTATTGAATGTAGTTTCAGAATCGTAAGCTTTTTTAAAAAAAAGTAAGCTTATAAAAGCAGTTTTATCATTAAAAATATACATTATTTTAGTTTTAATTATGCTTATTAAATTACGCTGGTAGAGGGTTTTGCCCAACATAGTAAATTTCGTATTATTTTATATTTTCAAATTTTACATTGAAATTCTCTATTAAATTGTAGTCCCGCAGTGAACTCATCGTAAAGACACAGTTCCCAGTAGAACACCGAAGTCAAGCTTCACTGGCTGCAGTCAGTTAGAGGGTGGGAGACCACTTCGATCAGCCTGTGTAGGGACCGCGGGTATGCGGTATATTTCTCGTTAAACTGTTAAACTGTTCAACCGCAAAGTGACCAAATCTCGCACAGGTCGTCGCACTGCCAAAGCAGGGGAGCCGTCTTCTCTGCAGAGGATCAAAATTACTATGGCATGTCTTCGGATAATCATCAGGGATGTTTCCCAAACAGTCGCCAATAGCTTATTGGGCAACTCTAGTGCGACGCGAAGTGCGAAGTACCTACCTACCTGTAAAATTGTGTGAATGATTATTGTATTTGAAGTCAATACCAAATCTTGTTTTCATGTACACTATAAAAGTTGTAGTTAATTATTACCATAAATAATTGAACAAGTTTTAAAGCAATCTGATCTCCCTTCATGGGTGACAACTTGTGAGTAAAGAAGGTTGAGCTTTTCGGACTTCCGTAAATTTGACGAATAATCGTTGTACATTTATACTATTTAATTAAATTCTTGTTTGAATGTTTTAAACGTATAATAATTTTAACAATCATTATTGTAAGTTTATAATTGTGTAAATTCAAGAAAATTACAATACATACCTTAGAAAAATTTGTTCCAGATACACCTATGGTAACCTGCAGTAACCATCGAAATTTATATGGCAAGGAATCTTAAGTTTATGATAACTATAAAAACTACTATCGCATTTATATGACACCATACGCTTATGGTTACCTATGACATCGTTTACAATTTACCCTACGCCTATGGTTACAACAGAAATTTGTATAGCATTCCTATGGAAGCATACCATTAGCCTATGTTAGCCGAAATTTGTTTGCGATCGTATACCATAATATTAGAGCAAAAGTTTCATAGGTGAGGAAATACCAAAGGCTATTCCAATGTGATTTGACCTATGGCAAAATGTTGCCATACACTTTTACCGTATACGTATTTCAAACATTTACTTCTATACTTCGAAAGAGCATAATTCGGAAAAAGAGACTTACTTTTTTATTTCTTTTAACTAAAATCGATTTTAAAACTTCCTGAAATTAATCAATATCATTTTAGTTTCGACAGAGTTTTTCTACATTTTTGAGCTTAGTCTATTTTATAAGAAACTTGATTTTGGATTAAAACTATTTTAAAAGCCCCTAGAAATGAATTAGCTCTCGTGGCTATAATACGTTGTGTGAATTTCACTAATATCAAGAATTATGTTTCATTTCCTTCTTTGATATCGAGCGGATTCTTTGATGTTGGGATTAATTTTAGATTAATGTACAATAGTAAAACTACAAATCTGTATGTCCATTCTGCTTTTTTTATAATTTCTCAAAATACCCTTATTTTATTTGTTTTCTAATTAATTTTTGTTGTAAAGATCTTAATCATCCGTGTATATTGTCTTCTGCTTTCTTACTCAATTATTGTCATTTTTCATATGTTAAATTACTTAATCTCTCCCCTTAATTTATCTTATTATTATCATTCTCATGAAAAAACTTCCAAAGGAAAAAAACTTACTCTAATTTAATGACCCTTGCTTATGTATAAATTTACCAATATGTAATAGTATGATAAAATTCCATAGCGCTGTGAAGAAATGTTGTATGGAATATAGCCAAGGGAAAAATTTATGGACACCATAGTTTGATGGCAAACATTTGTATATCCTACGGAATATCCTATGATATTTTTATAGAAAATCTACGGCAAATTTTCTTAAGGGAAGTTGAAAAGATGACTGCCTGTGTGTACTGTGTACTGGTGAAATGTGAGTTCTTCTTGTCGGAGTAAATTGACAAACATAACTTAACTTATAAAATATCAAATAAGATTCATCTTTACTAACTGATCAAGAATATTTATTGTTTTCGATATTTTGGCAAGCAGCTCTAATCTTCTTGTCCGATTGTTTTGACAAACTTCTAATATATAAGGTTGAAAAATGCATTATTTTTGTGTGATTACAAAAGCCTAATTTGTGAAATGCCTTAACTCTTCTTTATTTAAAATTCACTGAGGCAGATGTTACTTTTCCAATGATGAATCGCAAGCTCCGTTATCCTATAAGAAACATACAATGTAAATCAAAATTGTATTTTTATACACTTATAAAGTGTAAATATTTATTTAGTTTTTACCACAGAGATATATATTGTTTCCATTTTAATGTTAGAGCATAAAAAAAGGGCAACGCGTCTTTTTCAATGCATGGTATAACGGTACAACTCGACCAAGATATTTAAGCTCCACGCAACGGAGTACAGCTTAACAACAGGTTAGATTGATTATTTCATTGCTTCTTTTGGATTTATTAATTGAATTAATGTAGTGTACGGCAGTCATAATATTATTTTATTTTATTTTAACTCAATAAAATGTTTAAAATTTCATTCTTTAAAGATATTGCGTGATTGAAGACATGGAGTGACTGAAAAAAAGCTCCCTTTAATTTTGTACAGTAAATTAGGAATTAAAGAGTTAAAAATCTAATTATTTGCTTTCTTACTTAATTTTAAGACAATCTTGATTAAAATGCATATTTACATGCATAACATGCAATATTAACTAAAAGAAGCTTTTAACTAAATGTTTTTTAACTAATAGAAGACTACGAAAATGTGTTATAAATATAGAAAAAAAAACTATTATCGTGAACAAAAATTATACATAATAAAGAGCAATCCTTTCATAATATCATGCACGCTTTTGTTTTCTCACTTTTTTTTAAAAAATGATAATCAACAACCAAATCGAAATAACAACAGAGGATAATATTACGAACGAAAGAGAGTTAAGTATTATTCTAAAATACTATTGAAGAATGTACAAATAAATAACTTAAATGTAAATGTTAGTATATCTTTTATAAGTTTAATGATTTGCTTTGTGTTCTCATGCTGTTGCGATTTCTTCAATTGTAATGATGAGTCTTTAAGCTTGCGTGCAAGCAAGTAATAAAAGACTTACCTTACGGTTCAGAACACATCAAGGCAATTCTCATTAATTTTATACAGATATCATTTGGACTATATTTAATTTTTAATAAATAAAACCCGTGATTTTTTTTCTCGTGAGAAGAATGCACGAAACGGTAAAATGCTATTTACCATTTTATGACGTATAACTATTTTTTTGAAACTTGATACTCGTTACTACATCTAACTTCATAAAAATTAAATCGAAAGTCTCTCAAATTTCGAAAATGAAACTGATTCTAACCTTTGTGATTAAATAGTGGTAAGAATATATATATATATATATATATAAATGAAACTTATTGTTTTTTTTAACTTTCTTTGTGTTTTATTGNTATTTATCTTTATGTAAATACATAAGTTAAGAAAAACAATAAGTTTCATTTATTGCGCATAAGCTGCAAGTAAACAGAACTCATTAGTTAAGTACAAAATGAAGATTAAAACAAGGAAAAATTATAGACGTAAGAAAAACAGTTAAGGGGACAGAAATAATAATTAAAAATAACAAACAACTGATTACAAAAAAAAAAAAAAGGGATGAAATTTTATTTAAAACCGAAAGAAAAAAAGATATAGTCTTTTCATCAGCCCACACGATTATATACGCAAAAAAAAGTGCTTTCTGATATTGTATCAATATAGCCAAAGCAAAATATATTAATACAATAGTGTGAGGATCACTCAAAAAAATTTTTTACCAAAATTACTGAAAATAAAATAGAACACAATAAGTAAAGATAACACGTGAAAACGGAAAATAAAATAAAAGAAAAAACAGTATAAAATATACACTATAAAGCAGGTACCGAAATCAGAAGTACTTACATGTTCGGGAAATTTTCAAGAACGATTTAAAAATGTTTTCGCAACAAGATTGCCAGATTACAAAATATGAAAACAAAAGCGCAAATTGAGTGTAAATAGAAGGTTTTAAAGTGCCGTTCTTACTGCATTGCTGAAGTGATTTGTTATTCTGTGCACTGATTTGTTAGTTACCAAGGATGGGCCCGAAATGGATGTGCGCAAGGTAATACTATACTGGATAATTAAAAAAAAAAAACAATTTGACAATAAATAGTTTTAGGAAAAAGATGTTTATTTAAAAAAAATATATAAAAGAGAAAAGAGAAACATAAATTGCCTGTTTTACAAATAATTATGGCCACGGATTTGTCCGAAATGGATTTGCACATGGATGATTATAAAAATTAACAAAGAAAAAAAAATGTTTTAATAATTTCAGCCACGGATATGCACATGGAAAAATTTTATAAATTAATAAAGAAATTTTTAGTAAAATTTTTTTTTTCATAAGCACTCTTTTTTATAATTATCCATGTGCAAATCCATTTCGGGCAAATCCGTGGGTAAAATTATTTACTAAATATTTCTTTATTAATTTTTCCATGTGCAAATCCATTTCGGGTAAATCCGTGTTAAAATTATCTATTAAAAATTTTTTCCTTGATAATTTATATAATTTTTCCATGTGCAAATCCATTTCGGGCAAATCCGTGGCTATAATTATTTGTAAAACAGGCAATTTATGTTTCTCTTTTCTATTTAATATTTTTTCTTAAATAAACATCTATTTCATAAAAATATTTATGGTCAAATTGTTTTTTTGTTTTTTTGTTTTTTTTATAAATTATCCAGTATAATATTACCTTGCGCACATCCATTTCGGGCCCATCCTTGGTAACTAATAAATCAATGCATAGAATAACAAATCACTTCAGCAATGCAGTAAGAACGGCACTTTAAAACCCTCTATTTACACTCAATTTGCGCTTTTGTTTTCATATTTTGTAATCTGGCAATCTTGTTGCGAAAACATTTTTAAATCATTCTCGAAAAATTTCCCGAACATGTAAGTACTTCTGATTTCGCTACCTGCTTTAAAGTGTATATTTTATACTGCTTTTTCTTTTTCTTTTATTTTATTTTCTGTTTTCACGTGTTATCTTTACTTATTGTGTTCTATTTTATTTTTTGCAATTTTTGTAAAAAACATTTGTGAGTGCTCCTCACATTATTGTATTAATATATTTTGCTTTGGCTATATTGATACAATATCAGAAAGCGTGTGGGCTGATGAAAAGATTATATCTTTTTTTCTTCCGTTTTTTAAATAAAATTTCATCCCTTTTTTTCTTTTTTTTTTGTAATCAGTTGTTTGTTATTTTTAATTATTATTTCCCCCCCCCAACTGTTTTTCTTATGTCTATAATTTTTCCTTGCTTTTATCTTCATTTTGAACTTATTTAATGAGTTCTGCTTACTTGCTGCTTAAGCGCAATAAATGAAACTTATTGTTTTTCTTAACTTTCTTCGTGTTTTCTTGGATATATATATATTATTTGGATTANGTTAAACATACTGTCATCCAAATAACGTTTTTGTTTTTTCTCTTTTCTTCTTGTTATTGTATATATATATATATATATACTAGAGGGCGCCGCCCCCTGATCGTTACCGCTCGCCAACACCCGATAATTGTTCGCTGTGCGTGCAAAATTAAAGTCGATTTCCTGGAGATTAGCCGGCAATTTTTCGGTATAACATCACATAGTGAGAATATGATAGGATTGTAAAACGTCAGAGGTCCTTATTATCAGCACTATAAACTTATATAAAGCAATTTTAATACAAGCAATATTACAAACTTATATAAAGCGAGGAAGCAATCTTTTTTAATACATTACTATAGGACATTAGCCAGAGATTAATCTCCGTATCCGACGCAATCGTGATTCTGATTGGTTTATATTTTAGCATTATTTTTAAATGTTCAACAGTATATGAAATTTCAGAGGTCCGTTAGTTCTACTTTGGATACAGTCTGGTAAGGTTACTTTTTGCTTCTGATCAATAAGATCGAAGGTATGTGGGCAGTCATAAAAAGGGTCTTTAGAAAAAAATGTCATCGCCAGTCCGGTGCCACAGACGCCATTTTCGATTCGTATTTCGCCGAATTTATGTGGCGGTGGAGGTACACAGATTCTATTCATGATAAATTTAGACAGTATTTAACTGCTATTAGAGAATTCGGTGCACCTAAATCTGAGGATATTCAAGCTTAAAGAAGAAGTGAGTGGTTTTTTTCCTTTTCTTTCTGTGCTTTCTCCATTAATTTTTGTTTCGATTCAAAATGCTTTTTCTTGGGTGTATTAATTTTGCGCATATGGGGTTCATTGCAATTTTATAAAGTTTTGGCCGATGTTTTGTTTAAAAATTCCTATGTTTTATTGAAATATCATTATATTTTGGCAGCAATTCCTGTTACCACGGTGTTCCGCGCAAACAGGAATGGCGCCAAACATAGGTCGCCAATTTCGCCATGGGGCACCTTCGAGTACATTTTTACCCCTACTAACTCAAATCATTGTTGATCTTATAGGATACCGGACGCTCCTTATATGGTGCTTCATCTCCCCCCTCCCAGTATTTTAAATTTTAAACTGAAAGCAATTAAAACCTACTAAAAAATCTTTAAAAAATGGCAAAAACATAAAACATGTAATATTAATAAGTTGATGCTGAGTAATTTTTCAAAAGCAAAACCCATTGCAAGTAATTGCCCAATTAACTACAATACTGTCAACTGACAAAATATTTTAGTTTCAATCAGATAAAAAGCAAATTATATAATAAAAACATATGTAACTGAAATTCGACAAATTAAATTGAAAAATTTAATTTTTTTGTCATGTTGAATACTAATAAAAAAGCTAATGTAAAATGAAATAATTATGTTATCAATGATCAATAATCATTTTCGTCTGAATTGTTATAAGTAAATAAGGTGAAAGCAATAAAATTAAAAATTATTTACAATAGATCTCTGAATATTCACAAAACCTAGCTATGTACATTTTTCATTGATTTTTCTTTTCACATCTTTTTGGGTAGAAATGATTTGCACTTTTATGCATTATTTAAGAAATATCTCAAGCAAATATGAACTGTTAATAAATTTTTCTGGCTGCACGATGTTTTGAAAGTAAGTAAAAAACAATTAAAAGTAAGAAAAAACAATGATAAAATTAAAAATTATTTACAAAACCTCTTTATATACAACATTTTTTATCAATTTCTTTTCCATATTATTCGTTTTCATTTAAACGTCTTAACTCTTCAACGTTTCTTCGCCGCGTATTTCGCTGTCGCGTATTGATAGTGCTGCGATTATTTTCCCGTTAATTTTGTACTGCTAAATTATGTTCAGCCCTATGTCGCTGTTGATATCTCCTAAGATATTCACGGCGATACATTTTTTATGAAAGATATAAGTATTTCAAAGTAAACTCCGTTCAATATATTTCACACATTCAATACAAAATAAAAATTGCAACAAAATTTAACTGGTAAGTTTAGTTGTAACATTTCTGCAGACAGCATTATTAAAAATTATTTCCTTTACACACACATGCGTTCTCAATTTTGATTGGCTGTTTTGTGGGTTACTAATCAGAAGTCTTCTGTGATTGGCTATGTGTTATCAATTCACTCTCTTCTTATATATAAAGATATCTAGATATACACANATACAAAAATTCACTTTGTTAAAGATTTACCTCTTTGAATCTTGAAGGAAATTCAATTCATTTTAATACTAGCATGACATCTTAATAATAATACAAAAAATTATGTAGTTGAATTTTTATGCTTGGAACCCAGTTTAGAGATGTTTAAGGATAGAACAAGAAATTTATATTTTGAAGCAAAAAAACATACAAAAATTACTTTTAAAAGTAAATGTGTACTTACGGATAACAAGAAAAAGGGTTTGCAATATAATCCCTCAGCACAAGGACAATGTCCAGAGTAAGGGATATCTACCACTGTGAGTTTACGAGTTGAACAAACCGAACCTATAAATAAGAAGCATTTTACAAACAAAAAACGGGAGCAATTGTGCAGTAAAATTATTTTATGAAAACCATTTTCTATGAAGTTACATTCTTTAATTACCTTAAAAAAACATTAATTGAATGTTTTTTTCCATCCATATATTCTGCACCCAATAAAAGAGAAAGCAAAATTACGGAAAAATTACGATCAGCGTCAACAACAGCTCCTTACACAATACAACTCCTTACAATTAATTTTGTTTTCCGTATGAGACAAAGGCCTACTCGATTTTTTTTGCCTTGTTTTTCGAAAACTGAAATTGTTGAGTATTTCTTATTTGTATGACATTATCCAATTTAAGTCATTATTTAATCTTTCTAGTGTTAACCCTATGAAAACGTATGTATTATACCCCATATCTAGAATAATGGAAGTGGCCAGACTAGCCCCATAGGTATCTTGGTAGATGTCTCGTGATCCCAGGTCGTCATGTTGGGTATAATTCATGCTTAGATATATATTTAAGATAACGGAATTTCATTAAAATACAAGACCATCTAAAATAATTATTTATAGCAAAAAGGAAACTCAATTATCTAAGAAACTAATGTATACGTTTAATTAAATATCAAACTTATGTAAGTGAAAATAAAAGATCTTGCAAAAATCAGTAAGTTAAAAACAGTTACGTAGTGGAATATAATTTTAGATCCAGCCACAAAATCAAAGCCAACATTTATAATGAACATAAGCCATCTCTTTAAAGCAAGAAACCTTACTCTAGTACAAAAGTGTCCATCAATACTTGCAGCTTTTGAATAATTATTATTAGAACCAAATTGATATTTATTTTAACTTCTGAGAGTTATGAATTTGGTTGGGCAAAAAAAAATATATATTGTCATTATGTAATTGCTGTTATCAAAATATAAGCGTGGTTTATTTATATCAAAAATAGAATTACACTGAAATTACTCTTGAAATTTATGCGTAAGTATTCACAATATCTCTCTACTGTTTAGACTGGTGTTAGAAACATTTTTTTTTTCAATCTTCGGGCATGAATCTAAATAATAATTTAGATTCTTTTATCTCTAAATTCATCAAAATTTGTGTTCTACTGCATCTATAACAAAACATCTTGAAACATATCGTTGGTTCAAATCTAAAATGACACTTCTGCAAACGTAATACGTTGCAGAAGTGTCGTTTTAGTTTTGAACCAGCGATATGCCACAGCTTTAACAAAATCGTGTTTTGATTCTGCTGTGAAAGTTAAAATGATATTTCACAACGTTAGCGTTTGTAACTTACAAATTTTTGCAAATTCTCTAATCTTCTTTTGATATTTCTTCACAGGCGCATGCGCATTTCAAAAGAACTGGAGCTGAAAATTTCGTAGATGAGCAAGAACTATTTGAGAGAGAATAATATTTACCTTCCCCTCCAAGTGGTTCGCAAGTCCTGACTGAATTGTTTTGGGGACTTCCATAAAGATCATCTACGCAACATTCACGACCAGCAATACAGTCTTTGTTTGCTGAACAGTCTAGAAATGCATCGGCGATCTTGAATTAAAAAAAAATTATAAATTAATACACACAGTATACTCTCGATATTGCAAACTTCTATGTCTATAACACCGTTTTATGTTATTACACATCCATCTAAAGTTAATTTTATTTCCTATGTCATAGATTTCTTTCTCAAAACTTTGTTGTGTTGAATATATTTCGAAGTAAAAGACCATTTTTTTGTGGAAAAACATAATTTTAGTTCATTGTTATAAAATTTTTTTCCATTTAAGGCACATTTTTTTAAATTATTTTCAAAAATAAACTTATCATTGCTGTATTTAGATTTATAGTCAAGTATTGTTACGTACATAATTATTAGTAATTATTCGCGTTTTATGACTTTACTTTTTAAAGTTCTATTTTTGAATGTATTTTTCTTATCTTTAGAACATATTTATCTATGAATTCGTTATCTTGAAAACTCGCTATCGCGAAATTCTTTTAGTGACCTTTCAACTTTGATATATTAAAAGTATAGGGTGGCTTAAATAAAATATTTTATATGCAATTTTATTTATAATAAGCTGGCTCATTATGGGAAGAAAAAAGTATATATACCATCAATAAATTAGCGCAAAGAAACACCAAGAAATCATGCACAAAACTAAAAGACCTATACAAACAAAGTTAATAAAGCTAAAACGGTTATAGTTTATTTTTGTTTAATAAAAAAAAATTTGCCAATGGCGTAACGTTGATAGATGAGGCGAAAAAAAATGTTAGTAGTTCATCCCATCAAAATAAAGATTAACTGCAATCAGTACCTCTTGAAACATTGATATTGCTCAAGGTAAACTCTTGCCGCAATTAAGCGATTTTCTTCGGTTCATATATGTTTTGCCATATATTATACCCTGGCATGTTATGTTATACCCATGCCATATGTTATACCCATATGTTATACCGGCATATATGTTTTGCCATATGTTATACCCTGTTGAAGACCAGAAGACACCTATTTCCATATTATCTATATTAAAACTTGATATATTAAAACTTGAAACTTATAAACAACACGATACCATTTTCTAAAAAATAGCTTATTTTCGAAAAACCTTGTTGATGTTTTTGGTTTACTAAATTAAGAGAAATATCGCGTAAATTGCAAAGCATTCATTATCATTAGCCCTCAGATGAAATATGTTTTTATATAATTAATGTTAACATCTCTAAATATAATAAGAGAGATAAGAAAGATAAGTTTAAATAAGAAAGTTACTTAATTAGAAAGATAAGTATTAATTCGGGGATCATTAAATAAATATAATTAATTTTTACTGATACAATACCAAATAATGTGGCTCCCTCTCTTAAATGTAAGAAAACTCATCTTAAGAAACTTCTTAAAGGAAATGAAGCATTGGAATTTATTAATATTCTATTTTTAGAATGTTCTTTTACACTACTTGGCGACACAATGTTTGATATCCAGTAACACTAATATTTCTAATTCTAGTAATATTCCATACATATAAGAGTAGTTAAAGTTATTTTTACGATATTATATAAGGAATCACTAGTATTGGAGACATATACACTAATTCTTTAAATAAAATCAATTTATAAAAGCGAATAGAAACTAGACTTAACAGGACAGAAGCGGACGAAAATGATATATTATAAAATTATTTGATGTTCAGTAACACAAAAATTTCATTTTCTAGTAAGATTTTATACATATAAGAGTAAATAAAGTTATTTTTATGATATTATATAAGGAACCACTTGTATCGGAGGCATATACACTAATTCTTTAAATAAAATCAATTTATAAAAGCGAATACAAACTAGACTTCACAGGACAGAAGCGGACAAAAATGATATATTATAAAATTATTTGATGTTCAGTAACACAAAAATTTCAAATTCTAGTAAGATTTTATACATATAAGAGTAAATAAAGTTATTTTTATGATATTATATAAGTAATCTCTTGTATTGAAGGCATATACACTAATTCTTTAAATAAAATCAATTTGTAAACTCTAATACTAACTGGAATTAACAGAACAGAAGCAGATAGTAAAGATATATTATGAAATTATTTGATGTTACATAACACTTATATTTCTAATTCTAGCAAGATTCCATACATATTAGGGTATAAGTAAAGTTATTTTTACGATATTATATAAGGAATCATTTTCCTTGGATGCATATACACTAATTCTTAAAATTAAATCTACTTCTAAAATCGAATACGAGCTAAACTTAACTGAACAGAAAGAAATTATATCGTATAAAATTATGTAATACACTTTAAAAACGGTAAAAAATTGAAGTTTAAATTAAGTTATTAAATTAAATAACCGCAGTACACAACCGAGAACTTACATTCATGCTTCAACGGTAAATTTTCGTTTTGTAGATACATTCTAGTGTTTAAGACAACAGCAAATATACGCCAGCTCATATTTCAATTGTAAAGAATTTCTTGATGCATCGATAGAGCGCCTACATTAGCGTCTCCTGGAGCAAAAATAATTCCCGTAAGGTGTGAATGCACATAAGTTTAATTATAAACTTTTTCTATTACTAGTGTTAAATTAAATTACACCCGAAAAAATGTTTATGAAAGCTCGATTTAGGGTTAATTTTAAGTAAATTGTTTATTCATAAATTTTTTTAGTGTTCCAACGTCAAAATTTAAGAGATATTACAGCAGTTCTTACAATGCAGTATTTAAAAATAATTAAATTTCACAAATAATCTTGCAAGAGCTGTCCAGTTAGTGATATATACAGACAGTGAAAATTACAAATAATTGATACATTTTCCCCAAAAATTACCCTTTCTGCTTTAAGTTAAATTCATTATTAATTGCAAACTTTTTCTACTTTACCCTCAACGCATCTAAGTACATAATTCAATTAAAAATTTGAATGTGATTTTTCTATCGTTTTTAACGATGCATTTTCTTTCTCGTTATAAAAAGTATGATGAAATGAAATACATGCTAAATAAAGTATTAACAGTACTTACCCAAACAAATGATAAACTTGATATGAGAATAAAAATAAGAAATTTCATTTTGTATGTTATCTAGTTGAACCTTTGCTCTGTACCTAATGCTTTTTAGTCAGAGGCCACCCGTTTATATATATATATATATATATATATTAATATATATATGAGATTCGAAAAGAAAACCTAATTAGAAACATANATATGTTATTATGTTATTTTGTAAGATTAAATATGTTATCTCTGTAATTCTTTAGTACCTCTAAAAAAAAAAAGGAATGAGTAAAGTAAACATTCAATTAAGATAAAAATTTCGGATAATACAATACACTTACGTATTTAATTTTTTCATCTTAGAAATCGTGATCAGAAGCTTATAACATAAAATTAATTCCCTGCGTCGGTAACCGCTGGAAACAAATCTCATTTTTTGCTTACTTAGTCAAAACTAATTATTGATTAAATTGCATATAGATCAGATACAAGAAAATAATTTGAACATTTTTTTTGCAAAAAGTCATTTTACGAATTCATTAAGACATCAAAAAGTCAAACTTGATTGTAACCTTCTTCAAAAAAAGGTTTCTCAAGGTAATATGCTGTAATACGTCAACTCTAATGATTCAAAAGACGCTGGGAAGATAACATTTCAAATTATTTCATCTGATTTCTTCCCAGCAATTTCTAGATTGTAACCTTCTGTTTACAGTCTTGCTAATTGCAATCTGCTTCAGTTCTTGAATTCCAATAAATCAGAGGGTGCTTGGAAGACAGCTTTCCCAGAGATTTAACCTGATCGCTTTCTGGCGATTTCCTTATTATAACCTTCTGCATACAGACTTGCTCATTGTAATCTGCTGTAATACAACTGCAATGGTTCAAATGAGACCGAGGACAATAGACTTCCTATTAATTTAATCTGATCACTTCCGAGCCATTTAATTTTTGTTACTTTCTTTGACACTTCTTCATCGACTAGGTTATTTTTTAGAGAGGATCGATTTGTCGACAGGCCATTTCTTCGACTGAGCTGTTACATCAGCTAGGGTCATTTCGTCCTCAGGACCATTTTATTCAAAAGGTCTTTTCATCGACTTGGTTGTTTCATCGACAGGGTTATGTCGACAAAAGGGTCGTTTCGATATCATTGTTGATTCGTAAACAGAGTCATTTCGTAGCCAAGATCTATTTCAGGACAGTGTCGTTTCGTTGACAGGGTTGTTTTAATGGGGTTTGAGTAAACAAATGAAATACCTCTGTTACTTACCTAAAAAAAGTTCTCTGCTTATTTCGGCGAGTGGAGAAAACTGTGTCACATTTTCCTATGAAATCGCATGTCAAAACATTGAACTTTTAAATGAAAAAAAATTAAACAATGTTCTGGCTGTGGGATTGCAACTTCGTAATGTTACTTCAATTGCAATTTTACTATTCTTATTCATCATATATAACAATTGTAGATAGTATATTATGAATGAAAATGCTTTTTAGATATTGTACTATTAACATTTAAATTGTTTTCTCTCAATTTACTTACAATGAGTTAGTAAGAACTAAAAATTACGCTAGAAAATTAAGTACACATGTGTGTAGGGCTACTGTTGAAACGTCTAGCAGGAAATTCATTTTTTAAAATACCATTTTAACGTTTATAGCGGTTGAAGGTCACTATTCTTATACAAATATATTTTATTTACAAAACATAAAGAGGTTGTCACTAATTTATAAAATAAATGAACTTTTCTCGAATGCGTACTAACCTTAAATAAATTAAATAACGGTGGGAAACTTGGTAAAATAAAATGTATTTTAATATCTTTGAGTTTACCACTATGTTTTATGGGCCGGGGGAGCCTTGTCGGTAGGGGGCTGGGCCCATGTTCCAGAGTACGTGGCTTCGAACCCCTCCGGCTGAAGAATCCCCATGTAGAAAATGGTGACTGGTGCACGTTAAATCTGTCGAGTCGCAAAGTCCTCCATGTTGCCGTAACAAATCATTTTCTCAGGGGGTACTGGATTAGATCGTTTTCTAATCCAGGTCAAAATTACGATTTATGGATGAATGAATGTATGTATGAATGGGTCCGCCCTATAAACGTTTTTGACGTATGGGTGTGGCAGAAGTCGAATTCTTGGCCATAGATGGCGCCACAGGAAAACAAGAACTATCGAACCCCTCAATCTAAACAAGCATACGTCAACTAAAACTATGTTTTATATTTCTAAGGAAATGTATTTAGTCATGAAAGTTTAGTCTTTTAATTTTAATGGAAAGCTAATAAAAAAATTTCGTTTCGTCAACAGGCTTTTTCTTCGACTGAGTTGTTACTTCTGCAGGGTTATTTCGACAAAAGAGTCGTTTCGGAATCAGTGTTGATTCGACGACAAAGTCCTTTCGTCGGCAAGATCTATTCGTTGACAGTGTCGTTTTGTTGACAGGGTTTGTTTTAACGGGGTTTGCGTAAACAAATGAAATACCTCTCTTACTTACCTAAAAAAAGTTCTCTGCTAATTTTGACAAAACGAAAAAATTGTGTCACATTTTTCTATAGAGTCGTATGTCAAAGCATTAAACTTTTAAATAAAAGAAATGAAACAATGTTCTTGCTGCGTGAAAGCAACTTCTTGATTTTTACCTTAATTGCAATTTTATATTTCTTATTCATCACATTTAACAATTGTAGATATTATGAATGAAATATGCTTTTTGCATAATTTACTAGTAACATTTAAATTGTTCTCTTTCAATTAACATATAATGAGTTAGTAAGAAATAAAAATTAACCTAGGCTAGTAAGTACACATAGGTGTAGGGCTACTGTTGAAACGTCTAGCAGTAAATTCCTTTTTTAAAATACCATTTTAACGTTTAGAGAGGTTGGAGGTCACTATTTTTATACAAATATAATTTTTTTACAAAATAACATAAAGTAATGTCACTAACTTATTAAATAATCGAACTTTTCTCTAATTCGTACTATCTTTAAATAAATCAACTGGTGGTGGAAAAATGTAAAACATTTTAAAATCTTTGAGTTTACCACTACGTTTTATGAGCCGGGAAAGTCTGGTCGGTAGAGCGCCAGAGTTCGTGGGTTCGAACCCCGCCGGCTAAAGGCTCTCCGTGTAGTAAATGTTGACTAATGCACGTTAGATCTATCGAGTCGCAAATTAGTCCATGTTCCCTCAACAAATCAATATCTCTGGGGGCACTAGAATGGATATCAATCGTTCTCTGATTCAGGTCAAAATAACGATATGTGGTTGAATGAATGGGTCCCCCCTATAAACGTTTGTGACATATGCCTGTGGCAGAAGTCGAATTCTTGGCCATAGATGGAACCATTTTAAAACAAGAACAATCGAGGCCCTCTGACTAAATAGTTATACGTCAACAACAACTACGTTTTATATTTCGATTCTACGCATTTGTATAATTCTATTTCTGGACACTGCATTTCCTTCTTCAGTACTGCACATAAATGATTCAAATTTTTATAAATCTTAGTTTTCGCTTGCCGTCGAAACATCCATCATCACTTTCAAATAAATTTTTTATTTATTTAATGAAATCGTATTTCCAAATATCACAGTAAAAACAAATGCGCCACTTATAAAAGCTGAAAATTTAAATGCGCGGATAATATTGCCCAGCTATTATTGTTATAGGCTAAATGCGAGATGATTTCTCACACAAACTTGAAGTTTTATGTGTGTGATTTACGTGAAGTTTGACGCTTCTATCATTAATGGTGCTATTTATTTACAGATTTCACTTGAATGCTGCACTAATAGTGAGTTTGTTCTGGGGGAATTTTAAGGGTATCAACCCCAGGTCAGCAGCTTAAAGTATTTTTCTTTTCGAAGAAACTGACTCTAAACCCAAACGTACACATTATGGTCAGGGATTTTTCCCAGCATGTTTGGCAGGATATTATGTTAGAAATTCACAGGTTTGTAGTGTACGTTGGTCATTAACCATAGGCGTAGAGTGAAGAGGGGGTCGCACTTTTTAATAATAAATAAATATCAAATGTAAAATATTTCTAAATAAATGTATTTAGTCATTAAAGTTTAATCTTTAAATTTTAATGGAAAGCTAATAAGAAATTTTCCACTTCATTTTAAGAATATAACTACCAATTTTTAAACTGTTTAACGAACATACGAGCTCTGCTTTTCTTATAAAACTATAAGAAGAAATTAGGTCTTGTTAGTTAAAATGTGTTTTTGTCATTTTTTAATTTGTGATAAATTTTCAAACTATTTTTTTAATTCGGTCACAGCCAGTGATTTTAAAATTAAAATTATGCATGATTCCGTGTTTATTAATGCTCGTAAAAATTTACAGATGTGAACGAAAATATATTTACTCTATAAGAGAAAGCAGGGCATAATAATTGAAATGGAGCAGACACAAATAAATGTACATGCTGATCAAATATTGCGTGATTCTAGTAAGCTTTTAAAAATAAAGGATGGAATCAAATTAAGAACTCCTCGGAGATGATTACACAGATTTTATCTTATTCGATTAAATGAAAATCCAGAACAATTTATGATTCACTGCTTAGTTTTCGTGACTTCTAAGAAATGAATATATATTTCATTTCATGGATCTAAAGTAAAACATGATTATTTAGCTCATTCAATTACGTAATTGTAATACAACGTTCTGAGCCTACGTTCTGTAAAATCCTAGATTAGAATGGAAATTACCCGTAATTAGAGAAAGCTGAAAATCTAAAATTTTTAAATGAACAAGCATTTTAATCAATGTTCTATCGTTTTAATATCTTCCAGTGGAAATTTTAATATAAAAAATTCATTTGATTTTTTTATTTAATCAAATATTATCTTTATAAATTTGTATTTCCTGATTCAAAAATTCATAATAGAAAGTAAAGTTAGTAATTCATAATAAAAAAGTACTAATATTTAAATGTTTTCACTATTTTAAAATTATTGTTGATTTTGAAATTTAAAAAAATATAAGTATTGTTTAACATTATTAAATATCTGAAGCGAAAATAATTCTACAATGCATTATTTCAGATTTAATTAAAAGAATTAAAAAAAACTAAGAGAAAGTGTAGAAAAAAGGAAAAGTTTCGCTAGTAGA